GCAGAAGTCTTATAGATGCTGGTGAGGCAGGGGAGGGTGAATAGGTAGTCATTACCTCAGGAGAAAAATGATAAACCATGTTCCTATTCAGGAGATGTGTCTTTGCTTATCAAGTTTATCTGCATTTACAATATGCTATGAGAACTAAATACATCAGTTACTCAGTGTCTAAACATGCTTTTCCAACATGAAAAATACGTTTGGCTATCCTGATAAGAGCTTAAATGCTTTTTATTTAACCTTAGCTTTCTCTACTTCAGTTTTAATGACAAACTGTTATTTACGTGAAGTGTTTTGCAGCTAAGCTGCTTAACACAACACTGCTAGGGAATACTACAATATAAATATTATGTATTTACATGGAGTCAGAATCCCCCTGTTCCTCACAGGAGTGCTGTCCTCAGGTACTCAGTGTCATTCAGTGGGACTAGAAAAGACAACCAGCTTTCATTCAATATCAGTAAGGTCTTTAATGTAAGACTAACCGTTGTGACAAACTTTTCAGTCCTTTTGTACTCACTAATTGCTTAGAGTATTCAAGGCTAAAATCCAAGGATGAGTTTCAGAGCAGTGGATGCAATTTTTTCTTTTTTTTTTTTTTTTTTTTTGTGTGTGTGTTAATGGTAGGGGAATACTTCATTTTAAGGGTTCCCCACAGGGAGCAGATATTTATTTACTACAGACAGTGCAGACTCCCATGGCTCCCAGTATTCAGGATCACCATTCTTTAGTTCAGTTTCAGTCTATCCCTCCCTTTTTCTTTTGCTTCACAGTTTCGTGAATTGAAATAAAAACACACTTGGAGAGCCAATGTAGGTCAACTATTCCTTCTGCAGATTATCAGGCTTTGCACTATTCACCATCTAGGAACCTCTCTTTTTCACTCAAAGTTGGAAGGTCTTCCTTTTGCACATCTGGTTCACGTTGGACTGTGCATGGCATGCAACACCAAATAACCTAAGAAGCTTTCTCTGTTGATGCCTCTTACCAGTGTCTGGATCTGAACTGTCTCAATCATCTCTTGCTCTCTCTGTCTGATAAACTTGTCTATCTCATTTGTAATATACCAGAAGCTGTAATATTGTGGTATGTGAGGCTCTGGGAGTCTTTCAAGCTATTATTTTCTTGGTTCAGTCAATGTAACCCTTGGCTCAGCTATCCAAACTAGTATTCAAGTAGAACCTTACATTCATGTAATGCTTTTAGAAAGTAGATCTTGGCATAGTGGCAAAAAACATAATCACTTGCACAATTCATGTTCTTACTAAATTCCTTAGATTTGGGATACATAAACAATGTGATCCTAATGGTCTGTGCCCTGCAATAAGGTAATTGAGCCTAGAGCATATTCCTGTGATGGTAGTGATCTCCAATGTGCTGATATAAATCCTACATTAGCTAACACTTAATCTTGCCATAAACTCTGTTCAATTTCCACCCCCTTTACCTTAACAAGGCTCTGCAAGGAGTGATATCTCTTTTTCCTTTTCCCTTGCAATCTCTCTCCTCACATACTCACATACACACGCTCACATACAGACTCCTGCATAATTTAATGGAGGACTGGGCCTAAAAATGGAACTCTGACTAAATAAAATATACAGAATTAGTTCAATCACTTATCAATCAAGAGATGGAGACTTACTGGTATGAATATTAACAAAGCAAAACAGCTGGAGCATTAATGAAGACAGTGCAGACAAACTTTAAAAAAAAAAAAATTTGCAGGATGAAAGATAACCAAGAGCGTTTGGTAACTGCTGAAGCTTAAGTAAAACAAAATAAAATAAATTTATTTTATAGTCTTTTCTCAGCATGGAGTGGCCTATATTTTCAATTAATCTTAAAAAACAAAAAAGAAAAACCACAAAAAAACCTTAGTAAGCATACGATGGAAAAAACCACTTTACTTCTAATTAGGATGGCATATTATTATGTATCTAGATTTTAATTGCACTCACTTGATATATTCATTAAAATTATTTTCATTACAATCAACGTTTTTTTCTAACTGAATTAGACTCTAATATTCAAGGAAAGGAAAAAAACCAAGCCCTGAACAACTTTCTGACACTAGGCATCCCTTGAATCTGAATTGAACCCTATTTCTTTTGACAGACAGAAATAAACATTGTTAAATGAGTATTATGCAGTTCTAAAAGCTTGCACACACAGACGGGGCCAGCCCACGGCCATTTCTCCTGAAGCTCCATGGTGCTCCGCAGTAGCCCCATGAAGACACTCCTTCCCTGTCACGTGCTGGCTCCTGCTGCCCACCACGACGCGCCATGACTCCACAGCTTCTCTCAGCATGGGCCATGGCCCACTTCTGCCTCCAACCTTCGTGCTCCCCATATTCCCCCGCTGCCTGTGGTCTCCGGACCCACCTCCCCCTGCACAGCGGCTCTGCCCGCTGCCCTCCGGCCACGCGCGGGGTAGGAACGCGCGAGGCCTGTGGCAGGGCACCTGCCCGGCCCTGACTCCCAGCTGAAGGTGGTACGGGCAGGGGCAGAGAGAGGGATTTAAAGACTTCCTGTACCTGTCACTCCACATGCGGTGGGACCTAACCATTCCTGATGCATCGGTCAGCTCTGGAGGCATTTCTGCTCTTAAAAGTCAATCTGCCTCTTGTTAGTAGTACCCCTGTACCCCACATCCCCCAGTCCGAGTTTCCACAGAAAAAAATCGTGCCACAGAGTTCAACATAAGACGTGTAGGAACATACTGTGGAGTTGGTTCCAATTCCTTTTGGAGTCAATGCCTTTCCAGCGGCTTGAGAGACATGAATGCTACACAATATTTTTTACAAGAGAGGGAAAACATGATTTTACTGAGAGGGATATATACAAATTCTTAATCTCTTACCTTCAAACATAATATGAGTTTAGGTAAATTTTTCAGAAATGGTCCTTTGGCCATTGCCATAACAGTGAGTACTGAAACAAGTCAAAGGAAGCTTGACAGATCTAAGACCTCAGTCCAGCAAAGTAGCTGGAAAAACCCAATCATGAAACTTTCCCACATCACTTTAATTTTCAGAAATAAGCAAATGCTAAACTTCATAGTATAATAAGTCCCATGTAGGTGCACAGTATATAATAAATACCTCTGTGCGCAGTATGTAATAACTACCTCTCTGTAGTCAGTTTGTTAAACTTTTTGCATTTTTGGAACATCCAACTATCCAATGAAAATGTGTAAAAGATTTTTGAATTACTTTTTTTTTAGAAGATATAATAAAAAACTCTTAATTAATTTCATTATCATTTGTATTAGCTTAGTTTCACTTCACTAGAACAAGTCTCTGTTCTCTAATTCTGAAGAAATTTAAAAGTAATTAATGAGAAAAAAATGTATTATAAAGTAAACTTACCAAGAGTAATTACAAATAGCCGTTGGATCACAAGTCTTTACTACAATAATTGAAAACATTAAGTAATTTTTTCCTCAAGAATTCAGTTATTTTCAGCATTGTGGGTGCTGAATTACAAGTAGTACCTTTGCAATACTTTATGCTGTTCTGTTATGTTAACCCATCTGGCCCACTGAGGAAGGTTCAGTTTAACTATTCACAGAGCTGAATTCCTGCTAAGAAGTTTAATTAGTATAAAAAATATTTTAACGTACATCATTTACACATCTGGTCATTCCTCTTTCTTCCCCTTGCAATAAAACATGCCATTTTCACTTATTTATTTCTGTTCACTTACAAAGCAAAATACAAAAGAGCAATTTCAGTAATTTCTTTTCCCTTTCTCATAAGTAGTTTGATCATATTTTATTTAAACAGGATCCAAAATTTCTGCCCCCCCCCCCCCAGCATATACTGTAAGAATTCTGACACAAATGAAATACTGAAGTTGAAAGTTTTAATATTTTCTCATATAGTGGAGCTATAAGATTTTTCTGAAACATTAAGGAAATTCAGATAAAGATTGAGACTTTTAACCTCTGATTTCCCAAAATACCAGGAAAACATTCCTGAGCAACAATGAGGTTTCAACATTGTAAAATTCTTCTTCTAAGAATAGGAGACATGACTATTACACAGACACACAACATATTTAATTCTTAATAATCAAGAATCGTTCTGATCTGCTCTCTCCCTGAAGGTCTTTCACTTTTCACCAGAACAAAGGTGTGTTGCTGCTGGAAGATCTTTGTAATCATAAAAATTGACCCTTAAGAATATTCCATCTCCAAGAACCTCTCTGCTGGTTGAATAGATATGAATGATGCATGGGAAGCATGCTCATATTTTGACCCCTTTTTATTACCAATTTGTTTAGATCATACCTCATACCGACAATGACGGTCATAAAATTTGTAAGGTAATTCTCAGCAATGGGAGTTTGGGTTACTAAATTATTCTTAGACAGAATTCACTCGGGCTAATTAATATATATATATATAAGCTTTTTTTCTCCTTTTTTTTCTTGTACATGTCTTGGCTATTTGTCAGTGTCTTAGAATACAGCCTGACTTCACTGTATGTACTCTGTGTCATACACTTACATAATCAGAGCTTTTGGACTGTAGCTCACAAGGTCAAGGCAACTTACCATTATCAGAATTTTTAAGTGGTACAACACAGGAATTGGTATTTCCCTGTCAGATTTCACCACCACTGTGTGCCTTTCCTATTCTCTTAATTTTTATATTAGAGTGCATCACAATCATTGTGCCACCTACCTGTAGGTCACAGCAATTTTCACTAGCTGAAATCTCAATAGCCTGACCACACACCACTGACAGTGGTCACTGGGCAACCCTATTTTGCCAGAACGTCAAATAGCTTTTTAATATTTCTTATCTATCAGGATTGAAAGGATTTATAATCCATCCTATTTGAAGTATAAGTTACTGGAAAGAGAGGAATAGTGGTACTTTCCTTAATCTTCAAAACCAGTAGAAGACCCTTTACAGAAAATGTACATATTCAGGTTTTTATAAATTTTAGAGAAAGAATATTAATAAGTAAGAATTTGAGTCAGAGTTACCTGTAATGGCATTATCATGAAATCCAGCAGAGCTGTTCTTCACTGCAAACTTGATGACCATAGCAATGTTGACTTAAGCAAACCACCAAACCCCTTAATTGAGGGGATGTCCTTCACACATAATGGAGAAGGTTTTAAAGATGATTCACAACAGTAGCACACTGACATTGTCACTCCTAAGAGATTTTTATCTCCAAGATCACCAGTCATCTGTGCCGATTAGTGCATGCCTAAGATCTTCGGCAACGCCATACATCTCTGGATAGCTGTAAATCAGAAGACCACATTAAGTTTAACCATTACCAAAAGTCCAGGATACAGTGCAACACAGTAAGTCTGAGAATTCATTTTACCAAATTTATCTCAATGTTAAAATTTTCAAAAGAAATACATAAATCTGTTCTGTGTATTTACAATGCTTATCTGTTGAACCCAATATAATTTCCCTACTAAAAATGGCACATAATTTTTTCAGTTTAACTTCTGCTTCTACATCTTCCAGTGACAGATCTGCCCATTAGTTATCTCACTGAAAATCTCCAAGAAACAGTGCTATTTTAAGGTATTGTTCATTGTATATAAATTGTAATTCCTCTGAAATATACTGCCTTAATAAAGGGAAATTATTGCATGGTACAGACAGAAAAGAAAGTGAAATAATTGGTTTTCAGCATTTGAGCAGATTTGTTCCTTTGTATTCATTTAGTTTTTCTGTTGGTAGAGTTAGGATTTCATTACAGAGTGAGCTATTGGTTCTAATAAGATATTATTGAAGTATTATTTCTGCTTTGAAATCATGTTGAAATGATGTACCCTATGAGGTTAACTTTTAAGGGCTAAATCATCAGGGAAAAATGTTAAAGAAGTAATTCATTGTACTCAAGTTAAATCTGGTTCCTGATGCAGACTGAGCAAGGACTTGTCTGTGAGAGCATCAGCATGGGAGGCAGACTGACACAGAGGCAGTCTGAGTGGCAGCTGCCTTCTTGCTTCTTATAAAGCAGGAGAAAAGTGCCAGGTAGACTTTCTGACATTGGTCAGCAAACACCACAACCTTCTGAGAGCCAGTGTTGGGGCACTAGATGGGGAAAAGTGATCTATTCCACACACATAAATTAAAAGATACTTAGCATGTAAATATTCCTGTAACTGAGGGCACTCTCATTTGCTTTTACTTCATTCTCTGTGTCTAGTACTACATTCAGTCTAGCCCATATAATTTTTGGAGTCTGACATCTATTGCCCTGATCTCATTTATCACCAGCCCATCTCCATTTTAGAAGCATAGATACTCAGTGTACAATTTTTACTGTAAAATTGAATTTGTTTCTTGTGACAGAATAGGCTTGTTGAATTTATGATTTAATATTGATCATCCTTCACCTTGAAAGTATCTCTACTGCTGTAAAAATGAGGCATCTCTCTCATGAGGACACTATAACATCATGATACAGATGCCCATCCTGTTAGACAAGGTCATGCCAGTAGAAACTAAACTTAATTTTGTGAGACATTCCAACATTTATCCCTATCTTTTACTGTACAAGGATAAATAGTGGGAAATAATTTATCCTGGTGTAATAACTGTCCTTTCATCAGTGGAACAGAAAAATTTTTGATGTTCAATTCAAAATGGCTGAGAGAAAAAAAATACCAAAATTATGCTGAAAACACATTATTTGTCTATCTGATGGTTGCTGCCTTTATCTTTACATCACAGAAAATAACTAAATTATCTCCCTTGCAGTTTGGTACCAGACTCTTCATTATCTGTGGGTATTTTATGCAAAACTGTATTTTTCAGACTTTCTGGGTGTACTCCTTTGCTCTTTCTTTACTCTTCTGTCCACCTCCCTTGTCCTCCCCCCCTGCAATTTCTGTCAAGTTCCCAAATAAAACTACCCCTAAACTGGTTTCAATTAATTCTTGTTACATAGAAGTAGGAACATCCTGCTGTTTCCACCTTGTCTTCGGACTTTCACAACGTACTTAAAAGTCTGCAAATTATATGTCTCAAAGAACCACACCCCACCTCCACCCCTCCCCCCCCCCCAAAAAAAAAAAAAAAGGAAAACTATTCACATGTTCTCTTAATACTAAATTCCAGCTCTTTGGCTCTTCTCTATTACTCTATACCATCATGCATGCAACTTTCCTGGCCCACAGCAACATGAAAGCTTGATGTCAAGCTTTCTCCTCCCTTTTAAGTTCATTAACTTCTGTGGTTGCAAGGAACATCAGAGCATCATGAACCATATGTTTAACATCATAAACATACGGCAAATCATCCATCACTTGCAAAGGCTTATCCCAAGACTGAGAGGCCTTTTTTAACAAAGAACTGGACAGCCTGATGTGCTCTTGATGTATTTATTCTTCAGCTATAAGAATGTGCATCCTTGAAGGAACTTTGGTTGATTATGTAATTGGATCACAAGGTATTGCAAACAAAGGATGTATAAACCTATGTTTTTCTGGGAGGCAATGAGAGATTATTCTACTAAGGGCTCAACACTTCTCAGATAATTTTTTCCCTTTCCTAAAGCTGTTCCAATTTTATATGGCCTAACTTCACATTTTGTTTCTTTTCTACTACTGTATATTTCTCCGTTACTAAGAATAAATCACCAGAAGAAGCTATTTTGAAAATGGTTTGCCATGTGTTTTAGCCAAGAAATCTAGTGTAATCAGCAGGCCCTGATTCTCAAAGTTGAAGGTATATTTTAGACTAGCATGCCGTGTTTGAACAGTTTTACTAACACTGCACAGTACTATCTGCTTTGACAAGAATATGTTGATCATATTACAGAATGATTACTGCTAATGGAGATCTTTTAGACAAGATTAGATTTTGTTTCTGTCCAGATGCCTCCAAGAATGTTATTAGCTTTTGGTGTCATATTTTCATATCATTAATATGATCAGCTTATGGGCTTGCTCATATGCTATAACTGCAGCAATTTATCTGACAGTTAAGCTGTCAGGACCATGCAGCATCCAACCCAATGAACACTGCTGCAATCTGTATCAAATTAGGCACTGCCTGCACAATCTTACCATAGTTGTGATTTGACCAATGAACATTCTGATGAGTCTCCAACCTTTGAGATTCAGAAATTTACATTGTGCAATTCAACAGCTTTTTCCAAGAAAGCTGATTACTTCATGATAATATCCCTAACAGTGAGTTTGCATATTTTTAAAGGAATGTAGCATTTTTTTCCCAGCAAAACGGGATTCAGAGCTGTGCTACCTTGACAGCTAATTAATGTGGCACTGTATGGGAAGCCCTTTAGTTTAACAGCAGTTGTGATAGGTTTTCTATATACATATAGAAAGGATGATGAATTACTTTGTTTATAAAGCATTTTTCTGTTCATCTTTCAAAGTTAAAGGATATTTACAAGTACCTCTCACGACCTGTATTTACTAGTTAGACATAAAAAAATTATAAAAGCTGAGAAGCATAAAGATAAGTTTTAATACATTTTGACTAGAGAGTCTTACAATATCAACTAAGCAATACTATTGCCCTTTAGTTTAATACATGCTGATATGCACTCTGCTGGTATGCTTCATTCCTTTTGATAATATGCTTTTAAAAACAATGTCCTTTAGGGTCCAATGGACCATGAAATAGTCTCTGCAAAAGTACCAGTGGTGCCAATGCTGAGACAAACATTCATTTTGGCTGTCAGCTTTAAGGACTGTAGAAGAAATGAAGCACATTTATTATATACTGATGTATTCTGACTAGATAATCCTTTTCAGTTGTAGGCACTATAAAAATGAGTGCAGATTACTGTGGGGGAACGTTTAAAAAAAATTCAGATGGGCTGAAACAGTTGTGTTTCCAATTTCACAGTTGGTTAATTTGCTTTATAAACTTCTATTTAAAAGAAAGTTTTACTGACAATGAAGTACGCTAAGTAAACAATCTATAATTTGAAAGTAAGTTAGAGATACTTAGAGACTGTTTCTACTAATGCTAGATTTATTAATTTATATTGGAGTCTGCTTTTCTATGCTGCAGACATTTTCAAGGTTTTTTCTTATATAAACATTGTCATTACAATTATGTCAAAATTTACCCCTTAAAGTGTCACTATTTTATGGCATTTTGATAACATGCTTATTTCTGTGTAGCTATTATGGGGACTAATCAACTCTTACTGAAATCACCAGGACCTTGGGATTCAGAACAAGATACTTAAATCATAGTATTTTGGTGCATTTTTCAGTGCGTAAACTTCATTATTCCCATTTTAGAGCTGGGAGCAGGATGCAGAAAGCCTAAGGGATTTCTTTTCATTATTCAGTAAATGGAAAAAGCTCTACCAAGAGATCTTACCTGGCTTCTGGATATCAATACTCGACCTTGGCCTGCTGAGCCCATATCATCAGGTCTTTTAAGAAACACTGAAAAACAATCAGTCAGGTGCAACCTGTGTCTGACTGCAAGAGAGCAGAAAATTAGCAACTAGAAATGAAGTTTTGCTTTTAAATGCACTTTTTTTTTAAGTCTATCAAAGTCCAAATCTAATGTAATGAAAGTTAATAAAATGGAGGCAGCCTAAGAAGCTAAGAAGCAATATACACAGCTCATGAAAACAACACAAGACCTACTCTGTTGAACCCATTCCCGTTAAGCAAAAAGTTTTCCAAAATTCAGAGTAAGGAAAATCTTGAAGTATAAATCAAGGAAGAAATCACTTCTAAGAAGCTTTATGTACATAAACCTATGTGAAACTCACACATAAGGAAATTGTTCAATTGACCAAGCCTTTATCTACTATAAATGTTCATGGATGTTGTTAAATACACTATTTTTATATTTACACCAGCTAAAGTTCTATATCTGAACTTCTGTACATTCATCTAATTTAGAAAAAAGAGTTTATACATGTTCCTTTAGCTCAGAGATAGACAATATAGATAGCCTAGTAATTTATGAAATTCTGACGTTTAGACTTATTGTCTCTTTTGCCTGCTTTTTAAAAATACGTGTCATGATAAAAAACTAATTCTTTAAATAGCTAACTAAATTTAATACATAACAATCACAAGTTAAAACTGCTTTTTTTTTTGTTTGTTTGTTTAATTAATGAGAGTTCTGTGAGAGAGAACAGAATTGACTAGAATTGAGAGCAGACTACAGACTGCTGTAATGTCACAGTCTTTCTACATGGTGAAAAGCACACTCTTC